AGACTGCAATGGGATAAGGACAGGCAATCATGGACTGTGGATGACTGGATGAAAGTTATCCTCAGTGATGCGTCAAGAATCTGCATTGGACAAAATGATGATGCTGGAACTTTTGTTTGGTGCCGTTCCAGTGAGATTTATGAAGAGGACTGCCTGAAGAAAACAACCAAATTTCCACAGTCCTTGATGATATAGGGCTGTGTGTCAGGCAAAGGCACTGTGGAGATGACTGTGGTTAATTCTTCTATCAATACACACGTTTACATTGACATTTTGACAGTTTTCTCATCCCTTCAATTGAACAGATGTTTGGAGGTGATGAAATAATTTTCCAAGATGACAATGCATCGTGCCATGTAGGGCAAAACGAGTGAAGGCATTCCTTGGAGAAAGACACATTCAGTCGATGTCATGGCCTGCAAATAGTCCAGATCTCAACCCAATTGAAAACCTGTGGTGGAAATTGACACAAGAAGGCTCCGACCTGCAAAGCTGGTCTGCCTACTCCTATCAAAGAGAGTTGGCACCAAATTGATGAAGAATACTGTTTGTCACTCATCAAGTCCATGCCTCAGAAACTGCAAGCCGTTATAAAAGCCAAAGGTGGTGCAACTAAATACTAGAGATGTATTTTGAACGGTCTTTTGTTTATCTGTTTTTCATGATTCCATACTTTTTTCTTCAGAACTAAGTGAGTGATTTTTTTCCCTGTGCTTGGTCAATAAAAGTAACATTCACTGACTTCCACAATGTTTTCTCTTCCTGAAAGCCAACAAGTTGCACTTTGGAATGACCTTATTATTGTATCACATTTTTGACCTGAGTTTGTTTTACAGAATGAAATGTCTGAATGAGTGCTCATCCAAGACTGGTGATTCCATACTTTTTGCCAGGGGTTGTACTAATCCAATGTAAATATGCATCTCTGTAATTTCAATAAAAATGGACAAMATCTGATTAGACGTTATTTTTAATTTTTTTTTAATTCTCTGGGCACATTTTTATTTGCTTTTGGTGAAGAATGGAGGCTGCATTGGGGTGAATTGAAAACCTTTTGGGTCCTGGGCCAGAAAAATCCTATTGACCCRTAACAGACAGCTTCAAAAAGAAAAGGCTGAAGAGAAGGAGCAAAATCAGATGCAAATGGTGGCTCACATCATGCATTGCACTGTGCGGTAAGATTCATTGTCTTCTGTTTATGATGCTGGCTAGTGCTGGCAGTAACACAGCGGCAAGCTGTGGCCATAACCTGCAAAGTAGTTTCAGCAAAATCTCAGGCTTTGGTTAGCCCATGTGAATGTGCCACTTAAAGTAATTTATTTATTACATGGACTCCCCAGATAATTCTTATCCTTATATGGAGCACCTTATCATTACAGGCAAATGCTTATGATTATTGTCTCTTTATCAATTGGCACGTGCTCAGGATGAGTTAAAAACAGGTACAAGCCAAAACTTACAATTAAAATAAAAATTTAACTAGTCCTAATTAACATACAAGTATTTTTTCTATTTGGAAACCTTTTCTTCTGGACGGGTTCTTCTCTAATGAAACGTTTCGTCTCTTCTCCAAGAGACTTCTTCAGTCTGAGAGTTTCAGGCAAAATTCAGGCTTTTAAGCACTGCCTCCATGTGACTGATACTCACATCACATGGCTTAAAAGGTTTATGTGAATTAAAAGAAAATTGTGCATAATGAACCTGTAATTTCAAATACTGAAGACTGGCCCTTAACAGAGTTTTTAAATAAAGTGGGGGAAATATATTTTAGCTTCTTGACTAAAATAATCAGATGATTTTGCTGGGCAATATGAAGCACCACACCACAAAAACTACCCTGTCCTACAGGGACATATAAATAGTAATATGTAAGAAGTTTATTAGTTCAGCTTTGTTTTTACTGAAAATACTGAAAAATGTTTTGTTTCTGTCTCGATAAAATGACAAAAAAGTAAAACATAATGAGCGGATGACATATATACAGTTTTATTCAGAGTTTTATATTAAATTGTATTTTCTATAAACACATTAAAACATGAACTMTTGGTGAAATGAAAAGGGTTGATTTTCATGTTTGTTTCATGTGAATGCAATGACAGAAAACATAACATGAATATTTCTAGAGTTGTGTGCTTGAATTTAGAAAATGATTATAACAATAACAAAAAAAATGAAATGTTCGAAATCCATTGTCCTGTAAAAGTTGTGTGGGCTGTGATGATGTCATGAAATGAAAATTATTCCTAACAAATGAGTCATGTTACTTCCTCTGTGCTCTGTTATCAAATTAAACTTTTGTCGCTCACGTGTCTCATCTGACTTTTTCAAAATCCTTTAAGATTCCCAAACATTCAATCCAATTAACCAATGAAATAGTTTAAATATTTGATTAAATATTTTTGAATCATGTCCTGATGCATCTCAGTAATCCAGGTAAAAAATCAAAAAAAACAATTGTATAGGTCTTCTGGACGGGTTCTTCTCTAATGAAACGTTTCGTCTCTCCTCCAAGAG